GGTTCGAGGTGTCAGATCTGTATGGAATCTATTTTTATCAAAAACTATGCTATATCTGTGGGTGTTCGGGGATGTGCCTTCAGGTTCCTCCTCTGTCAAAGGCGTCTTCAGGTCTGTGTCACTCAGTCTGAATGTGTGACACACGTCCTGCCTCATAAGTATTGCATTGCAATTGTACATTTTACAGAAGTGAAGGTTAGTCCATTGTGATCCTTCAAGCGCTGAAGCCGGGTAGTAACATCTTACGAAGTAAGTCTGTCGATTGCGTCACCTATTTCTCTCCGTAGATACACATCATCAGCCAAGAGGAATATTTCGGAAGACGCCTGCACGACCAGGTCATTTATTTAAACTAGGAACAGAAGAATATTCGAACAAGAACCTTAAGAACTCCACCAAGGCATCTCGCTTCTTTGAACGTGGCAGAATTCCCCCAAACCTTACGAAGGGGTTCACATAAATATGATGACAACCAATCGATTTGCAGTAAAATGATTCAGTATGACCCCTAACCCGTCGGCGAGACTTTCGTGGTTGATACAATCAACGGCTTCGGGGGAATGGATGTATACGATATGCATTCTAGCCCAATGACCAGTAACGCTTGTCCGACTGTCTACTACGGTTGGTGGACAGGTGAGTATTTCTTCCTAAAATTCAATTGGTTGGGTTCAAAAAAGTTTGTGGATATCAGTCAGTTGCGTAAAAAATCGTGAGTAAGGGACCCCGTCCCTTTATAGGGTGTGGATGAAATAGTTGCATGCATACAGCGCTTCAGGTTCCCTCGTTGACACTTAGGAGGTCTAGAACTTGTCTTGGTGTGAACTTGACAGACCCAAAGGCCAACCACTAATTATTCGTACTTGTAATATGCCCACAAATATGAGACCAAGGGGGAACTCAATAGCGTAGTCGGATGGAATAGTATATTTGCGAGGTCGTGCCAATATACCAATGAGTTCCAACTGACTGGCTAGACGGTCAGTTACGAGCGACAGTGTGCCAAATGGCGTGAATCCTTGATCCAGTACCTTCAGCTTAGTGAGTCCAGTTAAACTATGAAGGCTGGCATCAATGTTGAATCTCGTCAAACCCTAGGTTGTTGGTTTTGGGGAAGTGTGTGACGCTACAGATCAGTCCCCTTCTTGTGGGTCCTTGAGGACCCTGAGACGATACCAGCCGGAGGTAAAAACCCAGTAGTTTCTTCACTGGTAAAACTCTTTCAGTGGGCTTGCTGAGAGAAGTAGCCCCCGGCTGTCTGATCTTATTCTAGGGTGTTGTGGTAAATGAAAACTAAAATGCAGTAAATCGAGTTATATGTCAGTCGCAGTCCTCTGTGTCCTATGGCGCTCCGTTCATTGCTCATTGCACCTGGAGTGTAAATAAAAGTCCCTAATATAACGAAAGCGTTTCTCGAAAATGGGAAATATTTACATATAAATGTGTCCAAAATAGGCCTTACGCTTATTTCCACCTATTTTTGAAGAAGTTTCGTCGTGCGGCAGCAAAAGATTGATACTAAAAGGTAGAATGTAGGAGAATCTTCGCATTCCCAGCAGGTAAAAAATGATGCCTCGAAAAACGATTAGGGATTAAAAGATGATCAATACGATTTAACCAACAGCACTTGGCAGATGCTCCGGAATCCTGGCTGTTTGCACCGATCGCGTTCTTTGATGTGCCAGTGGTTATTGTACCTGTGTGTTATCAGGCACACCGTCAGGGCTTTCGATAATTGGGCTATCTGCCGGTCGGCTGTGGTGAGTTGAAACGTCACTTATAACGTGGTTGCCCTTGGAATAGGCTGGTTTCCAACTGTCGAAACTAACCGTATCTTCACATCCGTTTCGCTCAATAATATAGAATTTCTCGTGTTGCTTAATCTTTTTGAATGATCTATTGCAAGGTGGTTCAAGTGGTCGACGAACGGTGTGGTGGTGAATGAACACATGTGATATCTTTTGTAAAACGGGGTGAACGAAGACATCCGTTATTCGAGGACTAACTGAACGCATTGCGTTTGTAAGCTCAGTCGCGTAAGGTTTCCCATCGAAAGCATGTTTGAAAGTTCAAGGGGAAACGAACTCACATGTTAGCCGGAGAGTAGTCCCATGGACGAGTTCTGCAGAGGCACACCCAACATCAACTTTCAACACGTTACGGATACCCAGTAGGACCAGAGGCAAAGCCTAGGTCCACTGAGGAATGCCTGCGAGAGAAAGGAAAGCTTTCAGTTGTCGACGGAAACTTCCGGCCGTGTCATTCGTTTGTGGATGCTAGGCTGTCACTCGAAACCGATCGCAACCTAAAAAAACAGCTAAAGTAAGAAACGATCCACACTAATTGGCACCCACGATTGGTTGTCACGTAAGATGGACGTCCAAAGTTCGCCATCCACCCTTCTACGGAAACACGAGTAACACTTTAAGCAGTAATATCCCTAATCGATCCGATCATCTCGTAGAACAATCGACGCAGGTGAAAAGATAAGCACATCCAGTAGATCCTGGTAGAGGTCCTAAAATATCTATTGGACGTGGCCGAAACCCATGTCTCGGGTTGGAAGAGAACCTAAAAAGCCTTTCGTATGTCGCCTCGCTTTGCACTCCTGACAAGCTCAACACGACTGAGCCCACTTCTCAACGTCCGTGTTTATTCCAGGACAGCAGAAACCCCGTGCAATAAGCCTGATAGTGGCTCGTACACCTGAGTGGGATAGTTCGTGCAACGTATTGAAGACGTTGCGTCGATATCTCCTCACAACTATTAGGCGTGGTTGACTAGCAGAGACATCGCATAAAAATGCATCGTTACCCGATCCCACTGGACACAGTTGTAGCTTGAGAGTTGTGGACGTTAACTCATGGCTCAGCTGAAGAGTTTCGGCTTGACACCGAGCTAGTTCAACTAGATCAACTTCGATACGGTTTACAGGAGCTATTCGAGATAGCGCGTCGGCTACGGAGTTATTCGCCCCAGAAATGTGGCGGATGTCTGACGTGAACTGGAAAATGTGATCCAGTTGTCGCGACCCACACGGGGAGTGTATATCAGATGCTGAGCCAAGAGAGAAAGTCGGCGGTTTGTGGCCTGTGAAAACGGTGAAGTCACAATCTTCAACTGAATGTCGAAAATGACACACAAAACAGTACACAGCCAGGAGTTCCCTACTAAATATACTGCATACCGTTTTTGCCCCTGCAGTCGCTTCGAGTAAACGGCTTAAAGCTGCCATAGGTTGCCAGTCAACTGCTGTAAAGCTGCTCTGATTGCCGAGCCAGACGTATCAAGGGCAGTGCTCAATGGAGCTTTGGAGCCGCGATGCGTAAGCGTGGTCGCGTTGGGGGGGCTTGTTTGACCTATTCACATTTTCCAGAGTCACGTACTTCGTAGCCCTTGCAGTAGGTCTGCAAGTGATCTCATGAGAGGGCCACAGTTGGGGATAAACCTCCGGTAATAACTCACCAGGCCATTCAAAGTGCGGAGCTGCTTCTTGGGGCCAGCTCTGGATAGTCCATGATAGCCACCACGTTATCTGTCAATGGGCACATACCTTTGTTGTCAATGGTGTGCCCAAAGGAGCCGAGCGATTAAACTCCTGTTTCACACTTCTGCATGTTGACTGTGATGCCACGTTCCCTCAGTCTACCGAAAACGAGGTCTAAATTTTCAAGGCAAGTTTCCTTATCTGGACTCGCAATGAGACAATCATCGATGTGGACGTGGATAAAATCGAAAACACGGAAGACATCATCCATAAAGCTTTGGAATGTTTGTGCTACGTTCCGAAGACCAAATGGCGTGCGCAGGAATTCAGACAAACCAAAATGGAGTAATAATGGCTGTTTTAGCGGTATCTTCTGTTGCTATGGGCATCTGATTATACGCTTTGGCCCAGACCCATTTTGGAGAATATGTTAATTCTGCATTACGGCACAATTAAGTCGTAAACCTGATGTATCGGGCAGCAGTCCGGTGTTGTTTTGACTTTAAGCCATCGGTAGTCACCAGTTGGGCGCTAGTCGTTGCTATCCTTTTTGGTAACCATGTGCAGTGATGATGCTCAAGGACCACTTGAAGGTCTGATTATGCCCAGTTAGAGCATGTGGTCGAACTCACCTTTCACCGTTTCGAGCTTATCAAGGGCTAGACGGCGTGCTTTGGATGCCACAGGTGGACCTGTGGTTGTGGTGTGACGCATGACATTGCTGATATGCACGGAAAAGTACGCGTCGGTCATTGTAACTCCGAATATTTCCCTAACACTACCCGATAGGACACGTCGCCTGATTGTTTGCTGCTAACGATGGCTGAACCGGACCTACGTAGGTGGTGCCGCTAATAGGTAACTTGTGTTGTTATCCATCAATCATCGACGACGAGCACCTGCAGGTAGATCGCAACGGCTCAGCAAATCCATGCCAATGATGGGCATAGAAACATCAGCCAGGAGGAAAATCCAGTGAATAGGTTTATGTAAACCTAAGTTGGGGTGGGCGTTCCTTCTCCCAAGTGGTTCCACCGCCTTGCCACTAGCCGTATGAGGATCGAAGGATGAGTCATGATGACGCTCCTTTGTCGTTACTGGAATGACGCTAACTTCTCTATTGGTATCGACGAGGTAGTGAATTTCAATTTTTATATTGGTGACGCAAACCAAACAGCTGTTTCCGTCGGCCACGGTTGACGTGAAAGTTTCTCAAGTTTGTGTCCATGTTGAAACGGAGTGGATGCCGACATTTTCCCGCTTCTTTTCCATAGGTGTTGTAAAACCAGCACTATTTCGGGTTTTCCACCTCGTTAGGTTTATTTCTTGACCCATAACACCATTCTTCATCAGAACGATTACTTTGGATTGTGAACAAGAGTTACTTAACTAGGGATTGAACACAGCTGATAAGTACTTTTATTTCAACTAGTTTTTTACTCTATTAGTTATAAGGTTGACCTTAGGAACCACTCTTTAACCTGAGCCAATAATGTTTGAAAGTGGCGGGTTCAGATCTTTGAATATACTATCCAACTGACCGAGTGCACCTAAGTGGGAAGACAAAATAGGTCAGCCGGTGCGTAGGCTCGGATTTTTATTTAGTTCTGCAGAGTGCTGGTCTTAAGAATAACACACAGGAAGGACATGTCACTGGCACTTGTTAGTTTAAGCTTCGTTAGATTGATTAGTGTCAGGAACTTCGTTTCAGATCTGTTTTATCATGTCTTATCGCATGCGGAATTAGTAGTTGTGTATTGGTGCTATTAATATTCATACAAAATATCAGCTTCAGTCCACCATGGCTTTGGATTACAGGTATTATGACATTTGTTCCATTTCTAATGTTAAGCAACATTCCTGGATATAATGGTTACCCCAAAGATCTTTTGGATAGCATGCAATTGTTTGATCGTTGGTATGATAACTCATATGTCCCGTTCTAGGTTGTCAGGTATTATTCATATATGCTCTTATGTGTTAGTAACTGACCGTATTGTTCGTAAGACTTATCAGGTTTGTGGGGCTTTCTTCACATGGAGCGACTTCAGAGTGCTTATGTCAAGTGTGATGCTAGGTGCCATGAACAGCTTTGTGGTGGTGAAGATTTTAGCCTCTGATGAGTATTCTTCTTTCTTCGAATACGATCATTTGTAACGTCATTTATCTAACACCGTGACCTGTTTAGCCCTTCAGTTAACCAAAAAGCGTATATACTAACTACTTGTGGAGCATTTATGGGCTTCATGTTTTGTCTCACAGTCCTTACGCTCAATAGATTCACCTTAAATTACTCAAACCGAATGGTATGTTTAATATATTTTACTTTAGTGGTAACAGGGTAACGTGTTTGTTATCGCGAAAGAACATATGTTGACTCGTCTTCTTACAACTATTGGAAGGATAGTGTACTTCCTACCAATCTATGCCTTGTTCCCCAATGTCTTGTGTCATCTGTCGCGAAAGTATGTTCGTTTTTTTTCTTCAATAATTTGCACCAGAGTGTCATTTTTATGGCTCGTCCTAGACTGTCGATTACTACTCCTAATGTTTTTTACAAGTTTCCACTTACAGTTCTCCTGGAGCTGTGCTGTCGACGTCCTAAAATCACAGTTTATCAAGGTAACCTCTTTTTCTGCTAATGGAATACTTTCTAGCCTGTTGATATTCCTTTATCATCAGTTCTTAAGCCTTCGTATTCAGTACAAGGGATTCTAAATAATTCCAGCGATCCCCTCGAACAAGTAAGTTGTTGCATGTAAAAATAATTTTGCAGCATTTGGCTTTGGAAAGATTAGCTGACTTGGTGGCCATCAATCAGTCTGTCAGGTCGTCAATATTTTCTCTCAGTCACCTAGGTATGTTTATTATTCTCATTAATTTTCTCAACAAATTTTTGTATTATAGTTCCGTGTGCATGCCTACTCAATATACATGATGTAGTAACACGGAATGCAAGATAAGAATGATTAAGACTGTCATATGTTCACTTGTTATCTGTGGACAAAAACTAAAATGTGTTTATTGTCGTGGGCGTAGAAATCGTGGTATGAGTTTTATGTTCTTTGAGGCCTTCTGACGTATTCTGGTTTCAGAGTTAGTTCAGTAGTTGCGGCTAATATCTTGTTAAACGCTAGTACTAAACGGCAGATCTGTATTAGATTTCTCCGACCTAACTCTACTTTAAGAACAACGTACCAAAAGTAATCCCCAAAAGCTTGCAATGGTGTAAAAATAGTTTGATAAGGCTGGTTTTTCTTTACTTGATATGTTTTTAAACTATGAGGTAGGACCTCGTATTTGTTATCGAGATTTAGGGTCAAGAAAAGCATGACTTCGTGGTTCCGATTCTCCAACTTGGTTCCAGTCTGCCATCTTTAGAACGGCTTATTGCAACTAGAATGTTTTTTAGTTGACAAACAACCCTATAATCCATAGTAACCAAAGGACTAGTTGAAGACAAATCGTTCGTTTTAAAATTTGTCCACGTGACAGATTCGTAACCTTTTCTCTCCATCTAGTGCACAGCAGCCAGATGGACATTGCCAGCTTAATTTACACAGTCGACCACGGTGTCATTACTTTGAATGTATGGTGGACTAATTTACATAGTTCAGACTGTGAAGTAGTCATGTTGGTGTTGTGTAATAATGCTTAACAGTTAGTAGGTTGCCTTCACTGGTTCTGATAAGATAAATTATACGTAAACGTTTCAGTGACGAGGTGTGTAACTTCGGGATTTCTCCTTCTAAAGAAACGTTGCCACCTGGATTTCTAGTCGTGACACAATAAATATCCATTATCAGCTCTTTAAAATTTGCAAAACCCCCCGTGATCTTAACTTGAGCAGCACATCTGAATCAACTTTTCAGTAATATAGCAGCCGAGTTTATTTATAATCGGAATACTTCAGTAGCTTCAAAGACGAATCCTTAATAAGCCCCTATAGTACCACTTAGTCATATGAACGAGGTGATGTTTCAATTTCATCTTGACCTAAAGTGAGATAAATGGATTTCATAGCTCTCTTGGTAGAGAGAAAGCATTGGACCGGAAACCCGATTGTCGCTGATTCGAATCCGGCAGTGGTCCAAATTAAATTTTCATTTCACCTTCAATCATCACCCAATGTATGTAGAAAGCTTGAAAATTGTTCAAAGTGGTGTCAGCTTTTGGCTGCTATATTTACCGTAGATAATTATACCCACTAGATATACTAGTCTCCCTTCAAGTGTCGTCTTATTTCATAGACATACCTTTTAATTTATCTCAGTATTATATTTCATTTTATATGAGCTGCATGTTTGCAAAAGAGTGATATACAGTACTGATAAGGACACTACTACTTAGCAACAATATACCTATCTGATTGCTATGTGGGAAATTGGACCGTTACGGTAATTGATTGTCGAGAGTCAAAACCATGTGGTCACAGCTGTGTATTAAAATTATAGTTTAAAAAGATGACAAGTCTAAGCTGGTTGTAAACACACCTGGTCGCTGATCAAGTGTTTTGAAGCAATACCGGCTGATGGATTATGCTGGAAGATGGTGGACTGACAGTTTATGGGAAAGGTGGATATGGATACGATATTGGCAGGTTGTAGATAAGCGATGGCTAACAGACGACTAACTAACTCCACCCTGCTTACAACTATCCCCGAAATGTAAATTAGCCAAGAAGACTGGCGAATAAGTCATGTCTCACATCGTATCATTTAGTCGGATAAAACTCGATTATATATAATGAAGAAAACTAATGACGGCGTGAGTAGAAATCATACAGGAGCGAAGAGCAGAAGCCAACCAATGACGTCTTTCCAATTTAATGCTACTCTTCCTACAAATGACATAAACAATGGTTAAATCCCTTACTATTATTTTTCAAGGTGGTCGCCCTGTGTTATGGAAACAAATAAGCAGTTTGTGTATGCAGCTGATTGATCACTTTGTGTCAAGTGTTCAGAAGGCGAATAGTCGTGGAATTACCAACTTGGGTACACGTAAGTGAGATTTGTAATTGTTCTTTCGAGGAAAAAAATTCATTCAGTAGTACTTAGTCACTAGTAGTTTCCATAATCAGCTTATTCTTTGGTTTTAACTGGTATGAAAATTCAGTTGAATGATGCATCAATTTGATAGTTGCAGCTAGGAGACAATGTCATAGCGTTTCACTACACTGTTTCGTGCATTTCATTACATCTACAAGTTATGCACAGTACTTAAGCTTACTATTATTACTATTGTTATTTCCATTATTATTATTATTATTATTATTATTATTATTATTATTATTATTATTATCATCATCATCATCATCATCATCATCATTGGAGCACAAATATGGTACAGCAAGGGCACGAAGAAATGGGTCACACGAAATAATATAACTATTTTGAAGACAAAGCAAAAGGAAGTGGATAAATAAGAAGGAAGAGATACAATAAGGATAGAAATTTCAGAAAGCCAGTCAGTGAGATTCATTCAAAGCAAAGCATCCATTACTTTTCAGCAACAGAAGATAGAAGGAAGCTGCAGCATGACCGCCACTGGCTTCATTTCTAAGCGATATCTGATAACGTCCTAAGCCACTGAGTTGTGTAGTTTCTCGGACAGTACCTAAGTACTTATATTTTTATTTATTAGTCCCTTGGGTTCCTAATGGAACATAGGGCTTCAGTAGCACGTCTCCAGTGAACTCTGTTCTCTGAAATCTTTTGAACCTGGCACCATGACAGCCCACAAGCCCTCATTTCCCCCTCGCACGATCTCCTCCATGTCACCCTCGCCTCAGATGTCCAACTCGTCGCTTCCCATGGGGGTTCTACTCGAGGGCCTGACACGTGATGTCCCCACCCGGCCTTCTCAGTGTATGCCCAATCCATCTCCACTCCTTTCTGCATATTTGTTGGGTGATAGGTTCTTGGTTGGTTCGTTCCCAAGCAGAGTTCCTTGTTGCTTATTCCGACTATTCTGGCCATCTGATCTTCAGTAGCGAGCGTAAGCAGTTGCTGATGAATGTCTGTAGTTTGTTGGAAATCCCTTTCGTAACGCGCCAAGTCTCTGAACCACACAGAAGCACTGACTTGACTTGACGTTGGTGTTGAAAATCCGGATCTTGTTCCACATGCTGAGTCCAGAAGATCCCCACACTAGTTTCAGGCTAATGAACGCCTGTCTTGCTTTACGATCCTGGCTGGCTTTGACATCTTCGTCTGTGCCATCTGTAGTTGAAACAGTGCTTCCTAGATAGGTGAAGGAGGTTACTTCCTTTAAGTTTCTCCCGTTGATGGTGATTGGAGTTTGTTGTTGGTGGTGGTGTTGTTGGTGCGGTATCTTCATCACCTCTGTCTCCTCTATATTCACTTGAAGTCCCGTCTTCGCTGCCCCGCCCCTTCTGCCAACTTGTTAGATCTTCAAGTTTGTGTAACATCAGACACAAGTCATTGGCGAAATCCAGACCTTCTAGGTTCTTTTCCGCAGTCCAGCCAGCGTATCCCCCTCTTCTCGCTCCCCACTGTTTGCTGCATGATCCAGTCGACCACAATCAGGAAGATTATGGGTGATAGCAGGCAACCTTGTTTCACTCCTGTCTTCACTTCAAAAGCATCACTGAGCTTCCCATTGTGAAGTGCTTGGCATGTGGCGTCTTCATATAGTTGTTGAATGAGGCTGATAAAGGTTTGCGGTACTCCGTAGTATTGAAGCAGTTTCCAAATTACCTCTCGGTTGACGCTGTCAAAGGCCTTCTCAAAGTCGATAAAGTTGAGGCAGAGAGTTAACTGCCATTCTATACTCTGTTCTATGATGATGCGAATCGTTGCAATTTGGTCCGCATATGATTTGTTCTTCCTGAATCCAGCAAGCCTGTTCCGGTTGTAATTTTGAATCCAGCGCATCCCTTAGTCTTTCCAGGATGATGCGGCTTAATATTTTGCTTGCACTGGGTGGACAGGAGCACGATTCCTCGCCAGTTCTTGCAAACACTGAGGTCTCCCTTTGGGAGTTTGACAAGGTAACCCTTCTTCCAATCACTAGCCAGGTACCTTCTCCTCCTTCCACACCTTCTGCAATAGTGGTGTGAGTATGTCCGCTGTTGTCTCTGCGTCTGTTTTCAGTGCTTTTGGCGGGATCCCATCTGGTCCTGCTGCTTTCCCACATTTCAGTAGCTTTATGGCGTTCAGGACTTCGACTTTTGTTGGAGGATTTATGTTCACTTGCAGCTCAGCGGCTGTAGGTGGTATTTCTGGACGAAGTGCAGTTGGTGGTCGATTCAAGAGCTTCTTGAAGTGGTCTGCCCATTGTTTCCTTTGTTTCTCTTCTTTCGTAATTAAATTTCCGTCATCATCTTTTATTGATTTCATCTGCGTTGATCTCTTCCCAGATAGCAACCTGGTTATTTGATACAATGTTGTCAGGTCTCTCTTACCTGCAGCCTGTTCTGCTTCCCTTGCCAGTGTTTCGTAGAAGTGTCTTTTGTCTTTGCGTGCACTCTTCTTTACTTCTTTGTTCAGTGTTTTATACATTGTGCTCAGTTCCTCTTGTCGTTGAGCATCCTTGCACTGGTTTATCTTCTGCTTCACCATCCACCTCTCCCTCATCTATCAGCTGCGATGTTTTCGCTGAGATCCATTCCATATCTTCTTTCTTCTTCCTTCCTAATACGGCTGTGCAGGTTTCTTTCCACATCTCTTTCAAAGACTTCCAATGTTCTTCCACACAGGTTTCTTCAGGGATGTTGCTCGATATCTCCCATTTTGTCTTGATGGCTGACGTGAAGATCTCCTTTGTAGTTTCATCCTTCAGTTTCCGAGTGTTGTAATTGAGCTGCGGTCTATCACCAGCTTCCTTGAAGGCTTTCAACTTGATTTGGAAGGTTCATTGCACTAGATAGTGGTCTGAACCTACATCTGCTCCTCTTCTTGCCCTTGTGTCAAGTAGACTGCATCTCCATTTTCTTGAGATTGAGGTAAGGTCAGTCTGATTTTTAGTGTGTCCATCTGGTGAAATCCATATCGCTTTGTGGATATCCTTGTACTTGAACACAGTGCTTCCAATCACTAAGTCTTTGAATGAGCAGAAGTCTGCAAACAATTCTACATCCACATTCGTCACTTCACCGAGTGCTTCTTGCCCCATGATTTATTCTCTTCCTTTGTTGTCCACTCCGAGTTTGGCATTCATTTTGCCCATTAGAATTTTGATATCGCCAACTGAGGTCTTGTCCAGTGTTGATTGAAGTTGTCTGTAGAATTCCTCCTTCTTCTCTTGCTCTGCATTATTTGTAGGTGCACAGCGTAGCATTGTATGATTGTGACTTTCCTTCCTTTTGAGTTGAATCTTGCTGTCATGATCCTGGAGGAGATTGGTTCCCACTGCATGAGGGCCTTCGATGCTGTTGGGGACATTATGATAGTCACTCCTTCAGTGTGTTTGTGTTTGTCGTCTGGGTGACCGGAGTAGATTATTGATTCTCCAGTTGACAGTTTGGAGAGTCCACCAATCCCATTCCATCCGCTTTCGCAAATTCCAAGCACTTCAATGTGATACCTTCTTATCTCGTTTGCAATCTGGGCTGCCTTGCTGGGTTCAAACATTGTGCGGACATTCCATGTCCCCACGTTTACTTTCGCTTTCATCGAGGGAGAGAAGACACATCGGCCAATTGGCTTCCCGAAGTCTTTCACCAACTGGTGTCGTTTCGCCTCTCCGATTCCAGCGAAGAATAATTTTGTTTTTATTTTTTATATTCTGTTTGCAATTTGAAGTTTCTTCAGCGGTTAGATTTGTTTTACGGGGTAGGGTTGCTAGCCCTATACCAAACCTTCCCTGTTTACCCGGGCTTAGGACCGGCTAGTAACTAGTGAACTAGTTAACCAGGCGAGGGTACCTAAGTACTTGGTCTTAGTATTTTGCATTAGCTGTTTGGAACGGTTAATCATCGACTTGGAAACTCATAAACGGTGCATGGAATAATCTTTCGTACACAGTAAAACGCCAAAACTTAAACTTTTAGTCTTGATCGTATGCATGTATTCAAAACTTCTAATATCTACCTTCATTAGTAATCAGCCGATAGATTTTTATCTTTTGTTTGTTCCAGAATATCGCTATCTTCTAATTTTTACGAACTCAGATGTACAGATTTATGGATTACGTTTCTATGCATGTCAGATGAAAAATTGTATTACTTAGTAACCTTAGTTTTTTTTGGTACAAAAAGAAATAAATAGATACACCAATTTAATGGTAACTTGTAGTTCATTAAGTTGCCAGCTTTAAAAGCGACTTCCAGAAGGGAAAGAATGACAAAGTTATCTTATTTCGTCCCAATATAAGTGTTCCATGGAGCTATACACAACTGTTTATAGACATTTCATAACTTTGGGACGCAATGACATTATTGTTTCAGCAGGTTTAGCGATGCTTTTTAACATTTAAGTGCGAACCTATTGCAGAATAAGAACAAAGAAATGTACCACAGAGTACAGCGACGACCCATCACATGTTTATTTACTAGGCTACGAGTCACATCTACTATGTAAGGGCTTATGATACTACTGGTTGGTTCAATAAGTACTTTGGTTAATATTTGTTATTAGTGACATGTAAATGTTTCTTGTGTGAGTCTACACTTTATATGATAGTAACAAATAACATAGAATACAATGCCAGCGGCTGACCATTAAATTTCCGTGATGTCTGCAAAATAAAGATATTAACATAAACATTAACACTAATTTACTAAGATTTCTGTAGACAGAGAAACCTGTTCATCATACTTGTCTGTTGCACGGTAAGTCCACCAATCGCTAAAACCCTCAATACAGCTTGTGCGAATAAAAATGGAAACCGCTAGGGAGACATGCTTATAAAACCTTGCATGATTACTCTACTTCTTAACAACACCAGCAGGGTAATCGAACAGAAATTGGTTGATATTTCAATAAAGGATATAAAGAGGCAAAGAGTCAAGAAGTCGAGGTAGGCAAATGTCCATTTT